GTACCATCTCTGACCTTCGCCGCCCTGCTACCACCGTTTTCGGCTGCTCCATCGAGGTAAAACATCTTCCCCTGCGTTTTGCTCGATTTTCCGGCGTCTTCCCTGCGAGGAAGATGACCCCTCCTTCTGCTAAGTTTTCAAACATTTGGGCTGGGCTTCTTTTAAAAATAATAATGATTTGGGCCAGTTCGGTCCAGTTGCAATAAAAATTAAAAATAAAATAGTAAATGAAATAAATAAAATCTGGAAAAATATAAATTAAATACCTAGTATAAATATACATATTCGGACCAACCAGAATTGGAAAATAATATTTTTAGCTATTTTTAATTGATTTAATGGTAATTGGGCCAATTTATACACATTTAGTAAATAATTAACTAAATAACGAAAATAATTATGAAATAAATATTGGAGTAAACTAAGATAAATATATGACTAACTAGGACCTTATGGACCATTTATAATTAATAAATATTAAGGTTTAGTATATTTAATTATAATTAAACCGGTTAATAGATATATGAAATTAAAGGAATAATTATGGAAAATAATTATAAAATAGATATCTGGACAACCTAGGTCGAATATAGACCCAAAATATATTTATGGACGGTTACTAATTTATAAAGTCGATTCTTAGTCTATTTATTTAAATTAGGCCATATAAGACTAGTTAAGTAATTAAAAAAGGAAATATTAATATTAATAGTGATTATTGAATAAAATTTTGATGTTGTAGTCAATTATATTCGGATATTTTATTTCAAATATTTAAAATTAATGGATGAAATTAATAAGGTAATTTTATTAATAGAACGTGAGTAATCAAATAAATTCGGATAACTAATAAATTAAGTTAATAAATTCAAATAATAAAATAAAAGGAGAAAATCGTGTAAAGTAATTACAAATAGAATAAGTGACTAGTTTATCATATTTAATTAAAAAGGTGATTATCTAGAGACCGGATTAGAGGAGGATAACTAGGAGCAACAGGACTTAAGGTAAGTTTCTCTGCCAATCCAAAATTGTTTCCTCGTATTATATGCTTATTATGCATTATGTGATTAAGTGTGAATTTTAAATGTGTACTATTTGGGGTGACTAAGAATTTGTGAAATATTGGAGATATATTTTGGGATTTAATCCCTAGTATGACTTTGGAGTGAATTTTTATGTAAAAGAATTTTGGAGTATTTATGAATGTGAAATATTGGTGGACGTATCTATTAAATAGATATTCTGGATTATTGTATATAGAGAGGATTTTCCAAGAATGAATAATGTTTTTATAATAATTATTGGCATCTCGGGAGAAACACGAGGTGTGGGTGGTTAGAGCTATATACCGCGGGTTTAGTTTAGGTTTAAGATGATTATTGGTGGCGGGAGAAATCCCGGTAAATATTGGTGGCGGGAGATTCCCGGTATTTCTTTTGGGAACTTTAAAAGTTCTTTGGTGGCCGCGGTAGTAGTTTCTAATTACCCGGGTTTCTAACCCATTGTGAGGTAGGGGGACGTTGTCCGAACTACTTGGACTTCTTACTACTCGGAGGGCTTGGAATCCCTTTTAGGGGGTGTGCACACTTAAGGGTGAAGTTCAGTTTCCAATTGGTGGTCGGTGGGAGCCGGAATTCCGGGATGAGTCGTACGCAACAACGATTCATTGGGCTCGAGGAATCTTGAGTTTCGCCCATCTTAAAAGAATCTGAAAGTGACATTGATTTCGGAATGGTGATATTTTTAGCTACAAAAGTTATTTTTGAAAAGTGATACTTCTTTTGAGATATTAATTAATTGTTGGGAGCTTATAAATATTATTTTTTAATTATACGGGTATTTGAGATTATAAAGTTGATAAATGATGTTTTTGATTAGAAAAGAATTTCGGTGGTGTGAGTATTTTTATATAGTATTATATGAAAAATCTATTTTCGCCAAACCTGATTATTTTACGGGGTTGGGTACTACTTACTTAGCTCTAAAGCTAATTTTTGTTTCCTTTTCTTTGTTTTGTTCTCTGCACTTTATTTGCGCAGGTAATGATGAATATGAAGCTCATAATGTTTGACGAGTCTTGAGAGCGCTTTAGAAGATTTATGTGTAGCCTTCACTTAGTTTAAATAATGTTATTAAATTTTGAATTTAAGTTTTTAATTCGGTTGAACTCATGGTGGATAGCCTTAACATCCAGCCAAGTTGAGGGCTGGGTGTGGCGGTAACACACCCTTTTTCCATTACTGTTATTTCCGCTGCAAAACTCTATCTATTTTAAAGAATAAATCAAGATTGTTATCAATATATTATTATTTCAAGTATTATTTTGGGCGGAAAAAATGGGGGTGTTACAATTATGCAAAAATGACCATGTATATGAGACGCATATGTCAATATTATACACTAACATAATCTCAAGCATCTCATGGGAGGGACAAGCTTCTTCACATTCCAAATATTGCCATCAAATGTTATAGTGAAAAGGTACAAATATGCCCTTGTAGTATGTGTATGAGAACAAATATACCTCTATTCTATTTTTCGGGGACAAATATATCTCTGAAGTATATGTTGAAGTGCATATATAGCCCCGCACTTTTAAAAAGTGCAAAAATACCCATCATGTTCTTACAGATGAGCAAATTTACTCTTATTGACTTCAAATAAATAAAATAAATTTCAAAAAACGCCAAAAATAAATTATAAATTCGAAATAAAAAAACAAAGATTTATTATTATGTTAAAATATTAAATATTTAATTTTAAATTGCAAAATTATTAATTTTCCTTTGTAAATGAAACACTTCAAATTCATAAATACTAATTTTAGTCTTGTTGTGAAATTTTGAACAAATTGTTACATTTTTTGAAATAACATTCATGATTTTGTTTACCCTTGATAAAATTAAATGCACTATTTTGTAATATTGGACTATTTATCATCATACAAAATATTGTGTATGTAACTTTATAGTGCAAAGAATGCAAAAAATCTATTGCAACACATATGTTAACACTTTTTTGAAAGAATATAAAATATATAGTAAAGTTTTGAAATAATATTTTATACAAACAATATTAAATTGTGATATAAAAATAATAAAAGGGAGAATTGGACACAAGTACATTTTTAAATTTTTTACCTTTTTAATTCCGAAATTATACTTTATTTTTGCAGTTTTTTTTTTGTATTTTATTTTATCAATTTAAAGTCAATAAGAGTAAATTTGTTCTTTTATAAGAACATGAGGGGTATTTTGCACATTTTAAAAGTTCAGAAGTATATATGTTCAGGGGTATTTTTGCACTTCCATATATACTTCAGGGGTATATTTGTTCTGAAAAATAGATTAGAGGTATATTTGTTCTCACACCCATAATACAGGGATATATTTGTACCTTTTCGCAAAGTTATAAACTCAATAAATCAGACACTAGTTGGTTCCTGACATGTCATCTCCACTAAGTCACAAATCTCATCAAAGTTAAAATCCAAACATAACAACACAACTTACCCGAAATTAATGAGATGAGATTGAACAAGACATAAATAAGTTATCTACCATATAACGATTCCATTTTGTAAGGGTGAATTTGGTGGAAGTGACCGAAATCACTTAATGGCGGATGAACTGCAATTATTTTACAAACTTGCCAGAATAGTGAAAAATAATAATTAAAATATATTTTCAACTGAACACCATTTGAAATATATTTGGAAAACTGAATGGATGAACTACCTTTATTTACATATACCTATATAATAAATTATTGAATGACCTTTGAAGAAACGCTTTCTATTTTTAACAACTGAGAGCGGGAGGGAACATAAATTGTAAAGGGGTTAAAGATTAACTCAGCATGCAGCCTATTGTGGCTCTTTCTACAACTGAATCTGAATACGTTACAGCCACAGAAGCGTTTAAGGCTGAATACGTTACAGCCACAGAAGCGTTTAAGGAAGCCATTTGGCTCAAACGCCTTGTCTCCGAGATTGGGTTTCTCAAACAGGGAGTTACCATTTTCTCGGATAGCCAATCGGCTATCCAACTTTGTAAAAATCTTGTATTTCAAGATAGAACTAAACATATTGATGTTAGGTTCCATTTCACACGTGATATTTTTGATGCAGGTGGAGTCAAGTTGTGCAAGATCCCGTCCGAGTTTAATCCTGCGGATATGGGTACCAAGTGTCTTCTGCTGAGAAACACTTGTCCTGTAAACGCGTGTTAAACTTTAACTGTGGATAACTGTGGGTTGCGTAATAATTGTTTGCCCGTTTTTTTTTGGATATTCTGGGTGACCCGGCGATGATTAGTCTCCTCACAACCTTGTATTGTTACTCTACACCAGTTATGACCAATAAGGTGGAGAATGTTGGAGGTATTGTTCCTAGCAAGGCCTCCCTTCCATTTTATAGAGGGCTTGCAACCTATGTTTACACCCACTACTCTTGTACCCGTAATTATTTCTCCCAGTCCAAATAATTACCTGTTTGTTGACTCACCTCCTATCTGGCTTTGGCCCTCTAGTTTTGTCCGCTGCAGTCTGCATACTTTTGTTAGTGTTGCCCGTGAGTCTTTAGTTGTCCGTGACTTGTGAATCATTGGTTGACTTTCTGCTATAATAGCCTTGTTCCCCTTTCCTTATTGCAAGTGAGGTGTGAGAAATAAAGAGCAAAGAGTAGAGTGTTCTCCTCCTTCCTTGAGACCCTTTGTGGGAGCTTGTGAGTGTAAACATGGTGAGATGTATCCTAGAGGTCCGCCTTCCCTAGTGTGGTGTGTGAGAGTATAGCCTAGAGGTTGGAGACCTGGCCTGATCCGAAGACGGAGATACGATCCTTACAGTGGTATCATAGAAACTAAACAAAGCATTGAGGTCCGATGTTGAATATTATGACTAAAGGTAAACAACATTGTTGATAGTTTTTTTAAGTGAAACATATATTTTCTCGAGGTTATTACTATCAAAAAAATTGGAGGTTATTGAATAAGGTATATGGTTGATCTTCCAATCCCGCAGTTGAACAAATAGCTATTGTAGATAGAGCTTGCAGACATAATTTGCAACAGGTTGGTTTAGTTGCATAGAGAGATTAGTTATAAACACCTGAAGCAACATTTTTTCATAGGGAAACCCCCAAAGCAGTTCATACGGACATTTCTGCAAACACAAAGCAATCAAAATAAAATGAAGGGATAAAATGAAGTAAAACACAACCTCAATTTGTCAGCGTATTACATAAACATCATTTTTCTAGATTGATATAAAAAATGAATATGAAAACAAGTAAAGAAGATGAACAAGGCAAGTTGAATGCGAAAATCTGCGAATGAAGTACGATTATATACCTATAAAGAAACAAATATAAATAATTAGAACATGGTACAGAACTTACAAAGGATGCGGCGAAATCCAAAATCGGTTCAATATTAGATACCAAGAACGTATTTATAGGTGAAACATCCAGCCAGAACTCTTGAGTTTCCGAATGGTTGTTCAGCAACAATAGATATTTGCCGACGATTTTGAACGGAAAAGAAGAGAACCTGAAAAGACAATGGAGGAATGATTAATAAGGGGTAGAATTGATTCAATCGAAACTCACTCGTGCCTAAACAGGAGGAAAAGACATTAACTCCCGTTAGTCCTTCGTTCTGCTATATCATTTTAGTCGTGAAGAACTGTATGCGTTGTGTACAATTGATTATTGTTGGAAGAGACTCGAACACTTTTTATATGACCATAATAGCTCTAACAATATTTGTGTTTATAGAAGTGTAGAGACGTAGAGACATGTATTAAAAAAATGGGAGCTACACCGATTGTTTGGCTTAAATCGTCCCCTACAGAAGTAACAAAATGGGCGGAACAACAGTTTTTATGTTATGTTATTATTTCCCAAAAATATAGCTCCTATAATGATTTGCTAATTTGATGAATTAGTGAATTGTGAATGACCGAATGAACTAATTGATAAATTTCTAATTTCTAATTGTTATGAATATTGATAATCCTCATATTAGTGGTTGATTTGAAGTATCTGCATAAACAAATGCTATTTAAAATTAAAAGCAAGTTGATTCTTGCTTTTTTTACGAAGTAGTAAAGGAGGACCGTGCCTTGGTGAATTTTTTTAGTATTTGAGAATTGAGATTTATTCTTTTATTTAAGGTTATAAAGATTAAAATTTGTGTAAATTTCAATTAACCATTAATCAAACTATATGCTTTGTATTTGTACAAAAAACAGAAAGTGTAAAATTATACTCCGTATATTATTTAAAGTATTCTTTGATATAGGAAACAGAATATGTGATCGTTGTTATGAGTTATTTGAAAGAATGGACATGTGTTTTCCTAATATGTGCATTATATATAAAGTCTTGGTGATTGCACTCGTAAAAGTATGTAGCAAGTGTAGAAAGTGGTTTCTCAAAACCGAAAACTTATAAAGACATCTTTATGAGTAACCATGTATGTATAAAAAGGGTTGAATTTTTTCTTTCAATTTTGTAATTTCTTCACATGCCCAAATTGAGTAAACACTCAAACATGAACAATCAACTCAAATAGCCATACTTGGGGAGCAGGCAAGAGAGATACACCAAACATACAGTTTTACAAGAGAGTGCATTAGAATAGAAAATTGTTAAGAGAAACACTAGTCTCTTCAAGAACGAAGAGATTTATTGTTTGTCGACGCTAGCATCTTTATTCCCTATGTTGCGACCATCTTCAATTACTGTAATTTTCTTTACTTGCTTTTCTTGAAGTGCTTTTGCATCCATGCCAATGCTAGCGTTCCTATCCCTTTTTATTACCGCCATCATAAGCTAATACCACCTTATTTAATTACCTGCTTTTCTTGAGCTGCTTTTGCATCCTTGTTAATGCTAGTGTCCTTATTCCCTTTATTCACATCACCTTCGGTTGGTGGTGTTTTTGTTTGCGTGCTTTTCTTGAAGTGCTTTTGCCTGCTAGCATCCTTATTCCCTTTACCGTCACATGTTGTTTTCTTTGTCTGCTTTTCTTGAAGTGCCTTTGCATCCCTTTCACAACGCTGTAACGGATTCAGACCATCATCCTTAACATGCTTGCCCCCAACTTTTCTTTAAATGCTTTTGCATTCCTTTAGTTGTCTAGAAAAGGTTGAATTGATTGCCTATTTTATCGATAAATTGAGAAAGTATACACTGATGATCTTGATTATGCTGAATTGATTAACATTTTTGCATCTAAAATTATTCGGAAAGTTGTACTTAATTAGTTGTTTTATTCAGTTTAGTATTGTTATGTTATAATGTAAGAATTTATTGAAATATTGAGTTTTTGTGATATTAATCTTTTCTTTCTAAATATGTTGTATTACAAACAAATACTACGCATAGGGTCCTTTTATAAAGCTCGATTCATGCCCAAGTTTATGTAGGATCGGCACTGGGCGCCTCTCAACCGCTCGACTAGCGCCTAACAAGTTTACGAACAATGGTTAGAGACCATTCGGCCCAATAGTCCCACAAAAGTATATTATTTTTGATGAACTTTCTCATTATTTAAATAAATCAATCAAATATACATTGTCCAAATAGTTATTAATATTAAGTATAAGAGTGTAGGCGTGTTTTGGCCAAACAAACCGGGTCCAAAACTTTTCGATTTTTAGTGTAGAATAAATACTCCCTGCGTCCCGGTCATTTCTTCCAGTTTTCCTTTTTGGGCGGTCCCAATTAATTCTTCCAACTTTCTTAAAAAGGAATTCAACCCATACTAAAAACCCTATTTTACCCTGCCCAATAAAAAAAAACTTTCCCACTCCCCTTCCCTTTTACCCGTTCGCATCCCTCTCTCTTTCTCACCCGCATCCCTCTCTCCCATTTAATCCCACTGCCTCCTCTTTCTCTGTCACTGCATCCGTCTCTCTCAATTACTCCAACCATCTCTCCCATTTACTTCCTCCATCTCCCCCTCTGTAAATCTATCTACCCTTCCGCCTCCCCCCTCTCACATTTTTATGGATCTAAACCCTAATACTTGGAGTATGGAGAATATTGAACACTTCATCGTCCCTGACAATGAAGAGGTTGTTCTTCCGGAGGAAGCGGTGGCGTTGGACACAGATGACCCTGTATTGGTACTCCATCCGAGGTGCATGGCTCAGAACTCCCTGGCAGAGGATGCCCTCCTCATCATCCCGAACAGTGAAGAAGAGCTTCCCGAGGATGTAAGTGAGAAACCTGCAGAGGTCGTGGGGGAGACAGTGGACCCAAATCGGCTTAAAGACGCAGAGACATTGACATGCATCCTATTCGGAGAAGTCCCCGACTGGAGGAGTTCCTAAAAATAATTTTGCCAAAATGGGAAACAAGGATGTGGGACGTGGACACAGATTAGGGAGGTTTCTTCTATACTTTATCTTCATTTATGGTTTAATTCGTACTCTATGTCCATTGTGTGTAATTTGGGGGAAGCAATGATGAAAAATTGTTTTTTTATGTTTATTGTGATGCATGTGGGTTGTACATGGTGGTTTGATATTATAAATGGTAGTTAGGCATATTGTGATGAAAGTATACCTTGTGTGTACTGGTCCTTTATGCATACTGTCATGAAACTATCCCTTTGCATACTGTGATGAAACTAGACCTTGTGTGATGGTTCTTTATGCATATTGTGATGAAAGTAGACCTTGTGTGTACTGGTTCTTTATGCATACTGTGAAAGTAGACCTTGTGTGTACTAGTTCTTTATGCATACTGTGATGAAAGTAGACCTTGTGTGTATTGGTTCTTTATGCATACTGTGATGAAAGTAGACCTTGTGTGTACTGGTTCTTTACTGCTATGATTGGTTCATTCTGAGTGGTATGCTATGATGAAAGCATTAGGCTGTGATATGGTTCTCTATGCATGCTATGATGACCATATGATAGTGTTTGGGTGCTTAATGCATACTGTGATGACCATGACCCTCATATGTGGTATTTTATGCATACTATGATGAGCACTCATATACTCTGCATCATCATGTGAAATGTGTGGCCTTGCATTGTCTTGTTGTATTATGATTTCTTTGCTTAACTGTGGAGGCCATTTTTCCTTGATAGCTGGGAGGACTGTGTTGATTAACATGTCCTTGAACACTTTCTTTGTTATGCTAAGAATAGGCTTAGTTTCCATAACAACTGCATTTCTGTTTTTGCTTCTTCTTTTTGCTGCAACCTGTTCAACAAATGGAAACATGCCTATTTTTTCATCCCAAATGACCTCACCACTTTCTGAAAAAAGGGGCCTACCCACTGCACCTAGGGACATGACCTTAGTTATGAACCTCTTTGATTTGCATACTCTGTGTGGATCAGCCTTTTCCAACCCCATGCATACTCTGAGCTTTCAAGTACCCCAAATAATCCCTCCTACTGGACATTAAGAGTACATGTGTTATGCGCTCTTTTTCACTGTTCGAAAGCCTTTTTTCCCCACTGCAGCACCATGACCATCCGTTGTTACTATTTGCAGGTCTAGGGGTCCTGGTGTGGAAGAAGCTGGAGAAAATGAAGAAGAAACTGCAGTTGTGGAAGATATTGCAGCCATGGAAGCTGCCTTTTTTTGTTTTCAGTGTGCGTGTGTGTGCAGTGTTTGTAAGTGTGCGTGTGTGTGTAAGGAGGGAGTGGTATATGTAAGGAACTAATCTCCCTCCTTTTTTTTGGATTGCCGCCTCTATGTATGAAACTTTTAGACAAATGTGAATAGTATTTACTATTCGCATGTCAATCAATCTACTTTTAATCACTTTCCCACTTTATTAAAGTTTTCACCTCAAATTTTACCCATTCATTTACCCCATTCGGCCAAGGGTATAAGGGGAAAGTCAATCCCTTTATAAATTTGCATAAATTTGCGATACCGGTCAAAACCGGAAGAAATGACCGGGACGGAGGGAGTATTTAATATGGAAGAAGGTTTATACTAATCCTTTTTGCATTAATATATGCCACTTAGCAAAATATAAAATTCAACACACGATGATTCAATTTTTTTGGCACTTTAGAGCTACTAACCTAATCTCACACTCAACTTGAACACACGTTAATAGAGAAAACTATTACCGAGCACTTCATCTATCCCATTTTACTTAGCCAATTTTTACTTTTCAAATGAATGATTATATGTTTACAACAAAAGTATTGATAATATAGAAATGATATGAAGATGTTCTTGGTCAAAAACACTATCATAAAGTATAACAATATTAAATTTTGCGAAAATATATTAGTTAATATTAGTGGTCAAATTTTATCATATTTGATTGGAAAAGTCAAAGATGACTAACTAAAATGGGACAAAGTTAGTATTATATTGGTATGACATCTATCGCCAAATTGTTTCTTGTAGTACAAGGGTCATGTATATAATTGAAGAAGTTTATCAGGGTGAGGCGGCGTGCTCAATGCACAGTGGTTGTATGTTACACTCATTTTATTTGTTATCCTTTTTGTGTTCTCGTTTCTCAAAGTGCAGGTATTTACAAATAGCACCTCTCCTTGGTTT